TTCCTTCCTTCCTTCCTTCCTTCCTTCCTTCCTTCCTTCCTTCCTTCTTTTCTTCTTCCCTTCCTTCCCGCTCCTCCCTCCCTTCCTCCCTCCCCCTTCCTCCCTCTCTTCCCACTCCTCCCTTCCTCCCCCCCTTCCTTCCTTCCTTCCTTCCTTCCTTCCTTCCTTCCTTCTTTTCTTCCTCCCTCCCTTCCCGCTCCTCCCTCCCTTCCTCCCTCCCCCTTTCTTCTTCCCTTCCCACTCCTCCCTTCCTCCCCCCTTCCCTCCCTCCTCCTCCTTCCTTCCTTCCTTCCTTCCTCCCTCCCTCCCTCCCTCCCTCCTGGGTGGCAAATAAAGTTCAAAACTAAAAATCACTGTATATATTTTTTTAAAAAACCATTAAAATGCATCACAAACAATCTAAAAAAACAATGTCTGAGAATTTCAAGACCACAAAAAAATGACACCAAGCCTGCTGGCCTTTCACAATTTCCTGACCCCAATCCTTAGGGCAACTGCCAATCTCAGCCTTTCCCCCAAAGGTCAGCAGGTTGAAACCTATCCTGATCTTGGTGGCCAGGCAGTCCAGAGGGCAAGTGCCCTGGATGGAAAGGGACATTGCCTGGGTCCCCCAGAGACCCTCCTTTAAAGGCCACTCCTGCTGGATTTAATCAGGTGGGCAGAGACTACCAAAAAGAATAGAAGCTTTAGGTATTTGGGTCCCATGCCATACAGCAGGGGGGTCTCCAACCTTGGCAACTTTAAGACTTGTGGACTTCAACGCCCAGAATTCCTCAGCCCAGCAAAACAGCAACTGGTCCACTGGTCTTAAAGCTTTGCTGGCTGAGGAATTCTGGGCGTTGAAGTCCACAAGTCTTAAAGAGACCCCATGCCATAGAGGGCTCTGTAGGGGCCAACCAGGACTTTGAATTGCCATTGTCTGTGAGTAGAGCAGCCATCTAATCCTTTTAATAAATAAATAAAGAAAATAACATTCTCCCAAGGTTTTTGAGGTCTCCAACCAATGGCGGGATTCAATTTTTTTGACTACCTGTTCTGTGGGCGTGGCTTGGTGGGCATGGCAGGGGAAGGATACTGCAAAATCCCCCTTCCTTCCCCACCCCCTGTAACCTGCTTTCCAGCTCCGTTCTCCTGTGCAGGGCAACCAAAGGAGACCCAGCTGATCAGCTGTCCCTAGGATGTTGACCTGAGAAGCAATGGTGGGATTCAAAAATGTTTACTACTGGTTCTGTGGGCGTGGCTTGGTGGGCATGGCAGGGGGAGGTTACTGCAAAATCCCCCTCCTCTCCCCACCCCCCCTAACCTGCTTTCCAGCTCCGTTCTCCTCTGCAGGGCAACCCAAGAAGACCCAGCCAATCAGCTGGGACTCAATGGGAGGCAGAGAAGAGATGGGGGTTGGCGGGGCCAGTCAGAGGTGGGATTGGCTGGTTCAAAATTTCTGCTACCAGTT